AAGAGGTTTGAATCTCTGCGAAGGAGTATCTCATGAGGACTGTCAGAAATGGAAATGCTTTTTCTCTTTCCAAGCAGGTGCAGTTAGTATTCTTCTCCTTAAAATGCCCCTTTGCTCCTTCTTAAGATTTCAAGTAGTCAATAACTTCCCCATACTTCATCTGGAGGGTGACACCATCTGTCTCAAAACAGCACTGATGCTTCCTGTTGGAATCAAGCTTTCAAAGCATTGAATGGAAAAAGAGGTTAGGAAAGGATCTCTTTGCTTTATTATCTCCTCCTATATGGCACTGTCTAATCCAGACTTCTGCGGACTGCCCACGCATTTATCTAGATGCCACCTTTGAACATATGAAATACAATAGAAGTTGACCAACTTCTGCTGTGGGTACCTGTCTTAGAGGGTAAAGCATATATATAAATCAAGACAACAGGACTGCATGAATATAAATAATATGGAAACATAAAACTAGAATCATGACCTGGCAAAACTAAATGTTTTCTCAAATCATTGTATATATATTGTACTGCTGTCTGTCTTCTAAAGGAAGAAATATGTGCTACTGGAGTTACAGTGAAAGTACTCTAGTCACTGATGTAACTGAGATCAAGGCTGTGTTCCAGGCTCTGATCAAACGTTCAGAGTATAAAACCAATCACATGCTTCATACTTACCCTTTCATTTCAACTAGTGTTTGTTGTCCTTTTGGCAGAAGCCATTAAAGCCAGTAAGATTTGTGCCCACAAAATGAATTGCAAAGGGAGATCACTAGATTTGCACCCTGAATTGCTTGATTTACACATGTCATTGTAGTGGAAGAACAGTGTTACTGGCACAGTAAGAAACTGAAAATGGAAATCCAACATTTGAAGCATTCAATCCTTCATTTCTCTGCTCAGCTTTTCCATCTGTAAAACTGGATGATAATGCTTGTGGTAAGTTTACATTTATGTTTTGAAATTCTGTGAGGAAAATGGTAGACACTACCAAGTAATAATTTTCTTATCTTTACAAACAGGAAGTAAGTCCTGTAGCCCTCTTGTTGGTGGATAGAGGATCGGTTATTTTTTTAGAGTCCTCAAAATAATGCAAATGCAAAATAATGCAAATATAGTAAACCAAGGCATAAAAATAAAGTTAATAATTTTTTGAGAATTTCAGATCTGCTACTGAGTTGCACAATGTTTATATCAGACAGCATTTGTTACAAATTTTATTTTTAAAGTATCAGTATGTAACTTAAAATGAAGTGTAATTTAAAAAGTGAAAAATGAATGCATGCATACTAGTCCAGTCAACTTTATCTTTGTATATTTTAATTGCTGTTTCATGTTCTTGCTTGCTATTTCTAAAGTAGCAGCAATGGGCTGCGTATTTTTTCATTTTAGGTAAGATCAGCTTTAAACTTGGTTTACATCCTGAGCATGAAAAGGTTCACCTGTATAGTTTGGTGGGAAGGTATGGAAATGCACAGATGTTAAATCAGTCAGTTCCCAGTATCCTGCCCTTGCCCAGTAATAGATTCAGGACCAGATGCTGAGCACTGTCAGTCTAGAGGGTTCGCAGGCATACATGCTTACTGCTTTAACCAAGCCTGATCTTTCTTTGTACTCCACACTTGCTACTAGGTTGAGTTTCCTATGCTCCAAAAATCACTAGGAGTCAGTGTAGGGCATATCCTACCACTAAAGATTGCTGTGTTGAAGGATTAGAACTTGTGATCCTATTTCTTTCTTGGACTGAATCTGGGATTGAGTGGTGAACCATGTGCAAGTGATATGTCAGGGAGCAAAAGTCATGCTCTTTTCCTTATAAGCTCTTTCCAGCTTGGTTTCCTATTATGCACTCTGGCTGTGGCTACTTTGCCCCTTATTTTAGGGTGCTCAGT